GTTGTGTTTACTTGACGAAAGAAGTGAGGTTTAGCATATAAGATAAGAGAACCGAACGAGTGGGAGGCTTTAGAGCCCAACACGGAAGCGCATTGAAGAGGGCATATGGTCAGAAACAAGGCCCTGCAAGGTAGCCATGGAGGACTTAGCTATTCGGATCCGATACTGGTTCTTTCCTGAACCATTCGAAATCCGAGTAGACTCAATATTGAACTTAGATAAGAGAATAGAGCGTCAAAGGTCAACTTCATCAGCTGTAAATGAATCCGTACAGAGGATTACTACACCGTTATCCTTCTGGTAACTGCCATCCGATGAGAGCCAAAAGGCTAAGGCAACAGGAGTCAGCAGCTCAGCAATATTGGAAGGAAGAACTTTGACGTTCTTCCCTTCTACATTATGATACCAGTGATTAAAGAGGGTAGTAAAGAAAGGCAACGTGAAGGTAGCGAATTGATAAGCAGAGTAAGTCTTACCGGTTTCTTTTAGAATAGAAGAGCACTCTCGAGGCGCCGCAGCGACAATTCCTAGGGAGTTAAAGAGGTTCCAAAGGAGGAGAACAAAGGCTTGATCCTTTTGATTCATTCGTAGCCGGGCATCATTCCCGTTCTTTTCAAGGTTCCAATCTGAAAGAAGCATACCTGTAATAACTTCTTGGACCTCACCAGGGAAAACTCTACCATCCTTTTCCGCCTTGGAAAGACGTTTACGAGCAGGTTTACCTTGGTTCTTTTCTCCTACTCCATCGGAAGGGGAGGAAGGTGAAGAAGATTGAGTAGAATAACGCCTCGTAGAGAGAGGACGCGCTAATGAACCGGAGACAAGAAGGTGAATAAAGAAACCGGCAGCGACAATGAGTATAATGGAGGAAGCAATAAGGAGTATAAAGGAACCGGCGGCGACAAGGATAATTAGAACAAAGGACCAGGAGGCATTAATTCTCCTATCAACAGGAGTGAAGAAGGTGGAGGGGAAGGGAACAGCAGAAGGAGTGAACCAATAACGACGTTGCAACCAGCGGCAACCGTTAAACTACCACTGTAAAGGAGTACCAGGGATAAAGTCACCCCATCTTTTTTGGGGTCTGTCATTCCAATATACAGTAAAGTCAAACATGGAGGCAATAATCAAATAATTTGCGGTTTCTTGGATAGCCTATAAGGCATATTATGCCTTTTATCCTCCTGCCCAGGAGTCCTGGTTTTTCTCCAGGTGGTTTTGGGAAAACACAACGAGGGGGTTGGGTGGGGAATTTTGAAGGAAAGTTCAAAAGGGATATAGTCACTTGGCGAAGCTTTAAGCCCCACTCTACGAGGCCATAATAGATGGAATGAAAGGTTTAACAAGCTGCTGCAGTTTAGGGACTTCCCTTTTAGGGATGCGAATACGGAACTGACCTGGCCTATGAACATTACGAGTAGAATCAATACCATACTTTTCTAAGAGAATAGAACGCAGTAAGTCCACTTCGTCTGCTGTAAAGCTGTCAGTACAGATTACTACAACACCCCGGTCTTTCTTGTAGGTTCCATCCGAGGCAAGCCAATAAGCGTACGGGCTCTAGGTGTCAACCATTCAGCTATATTCTCTGGAATAACTTTGATGTTTTGACCATCAACTTCCCGATACCAATCCTTATGGAGTTCAGTAAAGTAGGCAAGTGTAAAGCTTGCACATTGATAGGAAGACAGTTAGTTTTGCCCGTTTCTTTTATTAAAGAATTCTCCACTGTTTTAGGGGCAGCACCTACAATTCCTATTGAATAAAAGAGGCTCGCAGCTGTACGAATCCGCATCTTTTTTGATTGATGTGCAGGTTGGCATAAGAGTTTGGGTATCTTTTATCCTTTTGTAGGATTTTAAAGATGGCGCCCAAACACCCTGGCGAGGCCAACGGGGGGAATTTTGAGGGAATTCTGAAATGAGGAGAGAGGGCATTAGAGCCCTATGCGATAGCGCATACTATGAGGCATACGATCGCAAAGTAGACGTTGGACCTTAGTAACTTCTCTTTTAGGAATTCGAATAATGTACTGCACTGCTCTGCTCTTTATCTTGATTTGCAGTACACCGAGTGGATTCAATACCAAATTTATCTAAGAGAATAGAGCGTCAAATGTCGACCTCGACAGGACTAAAGGATTCTGTATGAAGATGGATGCATCCATCTCTTTTACTGTAAGATCCGTCGGAAGAAACCAATAAGCAAGAGCAATAGGAGTTAAAAGCACGTCTATATTCGAAGGTAGAACCTTGACGTTTTTACCGTTTTCCTGTTTATACCAAAGGGTGTGTAGGGAAGTAAAGAAAGGCAGACTAAAGGTAGCAAACTGAGTCGAAGTATAAGTCTTACCTGTTCTTTTGTTTAACCGTGATCGAGTAGAGGCTTTCGCACCTACTATGCCTATTGAATCAAAAAGGTTCCAGATATGAATTACAAAGGATTCATCTTTCTGTTCAACGTGCAGACTGGTAGACTGCCCTCTTTTTTGGAGACATGAATCACCGATCATCATACCACTTATCACTTCTTGAATTTCACTAGGGATCTTGATATTAGCCCATTGCTCCTGGGTAAGGCGCTTTCGAGAGGACTTACAAGTAGGCTCAGTAGAACTAGCAGCAATGGAGGAATGGTCACTACCCCGAGAACAAACGGGGGAACCAGAATCTGAAGACTTCTTGAATTTGATCAGGAAAGACTATAGCAGCTTTCTCTGCTTTGGTAAGACGTTTCACTTTCCGAGGAATTTCACCTTGTCCTTGAGAAAAATCCGAATTTTGCCCAGAAGAGGATTTAATCGGACTAAGGAGGCATGGAGTAGGTTTAAAGACACCGAGGGCATAATCAAGATGTTTTTGATCATACTTCAGATCTTTAACATAATGAAGAAGATGGCACCAAAAATAAAGGCTAGCAATAGATTGCACATGAAGTACAAGAATCAAGGAAATTAATCAAACCCTTAAAGAGAAGGCAAAAGAAGAAGGTGTGATAAAAATTCCAAAGCGAAGAAGGCAACAAAAGAATGAACAAGCCCAACCACCAAGTTCTCTGGCAAGTTCTTTCTTTACACTTCGAGGGACAAATTACTTCCAATATAATCTTGCTTCTTTACGTGTCATTAGTAAACAAAACCAATCTTAGGTTCTTAATCTGTTTCTTAGTGAGGCTAAGGCCTTGGTCGGATGTGGAGGCCGATGGAAACCCAAAGGTCCTCTTAAGAGTTTTAAGACCTCTTATACGTCTAGTTTAGGTTTTCGCTAAACTACCAATTTTGGTATCATTTGGGACAAGGGAGCTAAATTTGATTTGATTTATCAAACTTGACTATCATTTCTTATTTTGCTACTTTATTTGAATGTCAATTTTCTTATTGATAAAAGATAGGATTTCCCGGATTTTGTTGAGGTCTCCAAATGCAGCAGCCCGATCTTTTTATAGGGCCAGAGGGATTTGAACCCTCCACCACTGCGTTATCAACACAGCACTCTAACCGAACTGAGCTATGACCCTTACATAGTAGTAAAAACCGATGGCCAGCCTCACGGAAATTACCTCTCTCCTGATTGGGTTTCAGCAGGAATGATTATTGGATGTTCGACTTTGCTAAAAGCCGGTGGCGGGCCTGATAAGGCTACGGCCCGGCAGTTTTCGGGGGGGGGAGGGTTATTTTAACCCTGGGCCACAGGGAAAACTTCTTAGAGCCATTGCCCAGCCCTTTAAAAGCCAACTAAGGTTAAAGACCCACTCTATAGGCCAATGAAAGCGGTATGAAAGGTTTAACTAGTTTCTGGACTTTGGGAACTTCTCGCTTAGGGATACGTATAATAGATTGCCCCTTAGCTTTATTAGCAGCAACCCGAGTAGTTTCAATATCATACCGATCCAGCAGAACAGAGCGTAGAAGGTCGACCTCAACAGGAGTAAAGGACTCTGTTGATATCCGAATTGCTCCTTGAGATTTATCGAAGCAGCCGTCACCGCTAAGCCAATAGGCCAAAGCGGTAGGAGTTAAGAGTTCACCTATATTCTTCGGTAGAACTTGGATGTTTTTTCCATCGACATTAATATAGGGTATGCAGATTCGTAAAGAAAGGTAGGGTAAAGGTTGCGAAATACCATGAGGAATGTGTGTTGCCGGTTTGAGCGTGAGTATAAGTCGTCCTTGCGGGGTTGCGGCCTGACCCAACGGGTTGGATCGGAGCCCCCCAGGCTACGGCTCCTGCTGCCGGGCCGTAGCCTTATCAGGACCGGCACCGGGTCGTCCAACCCGTTGGGTCAGACCGCAGCCGACAGGCCGCGCCCCAACTATCCCTAATGGATGAAAGATACTATAGAGGTTGTCTACAAACTCCTTATCTTTCTGCTGGATTTTAAGCCGAGCATTACCTTTTCTATACCCTTGCGGAAAGATTATCGTTGAATCGCCCAAAATCATCCCCACTATTAGTTCATTAATTTCCTCAGTAAAGACGATTGCATCTTTCTGAGCTTTGGTTAGTCTTTTAAGTTTTCGAGTGGGTTTATCCTCGGGCTTTACTGAAGATGGAGAAGAGACAGTAGAATAATAGCAAACTGGCAGTAAGGTAAATGAACAAGTAGAGTAGAACCGAATAGAACCCCGAAGGAGAGAGGGGGCTGGATAAATCCAGCTGTAGTAAAGAAGCTTGTAAGGAGAGGCAGTACGAATCACCCCGCAGGGAAGAGTAATCAACCACAGAACCCCTGAACACTGTTTTCTGATAGATAAAGTCGCATAATTCTTTCCAGTCAAAATTATTGTTCATTTTAACGTGGTCAGAAACTTGACAAGGAATCTGATCCCCAGCAGCCGTAGATTTACGAAAGATGCCATAATTCCAGCAGTAAAATAAGTATCTAGCAAGACCTATAATCAACACGCACTCTACAAGTGCTATCCGCAACGATCTGGAATCTAAAACCAATTTTCTTATTTAAGTGTAAGACTCGCGTAAATTCTTATAGATAAATCTGATGAGCTTTGCGAAACAGCGTATGCCCGGTTTTTACAGCCGCTGTCATTTATCTATAAATGGAAAACATCTTCTTTTTTGTTAGAGCAGCAATGCCTTTGTGCCTACTTGTGCTA